AAGGGAAAGAACAACCCAATGGAGCTTTAGAAACACAGATGCGGACAATGTGCTGGGCTCTGAGACGACTGTGAATCCTCCTTGTCCTATTCTCTCCTCCGGCCAGGGGAGGCAGCGCCAGGCGGCATGGAGAGGCCAGGGTGTCAGCGTTCTCTCTGCCACTGATTCACTGGGGGACCATGGGAAGGTCACTTACACTATGTGCCTTGTTCTCCCTCTCTTTAAAAAGGGGATAATGGTATTGATGATATAGGAAGCTTGGGAGTTTTAATGTCTGCCAAGAGCCTTGAGAATCTTGGAGTGCTATAGAAGGACAAAGTATTTTATTTTCCATAGGACTATGCAAAATAAGTCGCACCTGGCCTAAGCCTGCTTATCTGTAGCTGGCCCTCCTCCCATATCCATGCATGCAGGACAAGTACGTAGGCACAGGGCCCTAGGCAACCCAACAGGCAGCATAAACCCCAGGACAACACTGCCACGGTGGATGTGGTGCTGAGCCCAGGAACTAGGAGAAGGCTTCTCTGGGATCCCAGTTGTTCCCCAGCTGCCGGTGGCATCCACAATTCTCTTCCTCAGCCCCCAACCTCTATTGGCATGCTGAAAAATGAGCCGGGGGTTTCCACCCCCATGCAGATGGAAGGATGGGGGTGGGAAGAGAATGACTTAGGGCAACCTCCCATCATTCCAGCCGCCATGCTGAAAAGAAGCCAGTGAAGTAAGGACAGGCAATGAAACAGCTGCTGCTCACCTCGACGGACAAGGCGGCACAGAGGCAGATTCACTACCTAGACAAACAGCTCGCAGTCTGCATTGGGCAGAGCAGAAGCGCACAACTTCAACAGCATCCCCGAAGGGGAAAGAACCAGCTTGGCTGTGCTGTCGGGCCCTTTGTGCTCCCCCTAACTGCCCTGTCACCCTGCCCAATACTAAAGTACCTAGAAAAGGAAAACGAAGTCAGGCTATTACCCAGCTTCAGTCAGCCCCTGGCAGGCTCTGCTGTCAGCCCCATGTGCTGAAATTAGGGCCCAATCCTAGAAGGTTCTGATCTCCCTCATCTCCCCTTGCTTACAGTGAGAGAGCGCTCAGCAGCTGCAGGATCAGCCTCCTAACAAAGCAACACAATCTCCGGACCCATCACATCGGAAACAGAGGCCCTCAACGCTTCCTCAGCAATCGAAGGCCACGTGCCTCGGGAAGCCTCTTGAGAAATGGGAGCCGAAGGAAGGCACAGGTCCCATAGACTGACCGATCTCTTCACTGGCTTACGCGCCCGAAGGTACAAGCCAATGTGTTGCCCAAATAAACAACAGAGCGCTGCACTTGGACAGCACCTGCCGCCTGAGAATCTCACCGTCCTTTGAAAAGGTTAATGACTGAAGCCTCAACACCCAGAGAGGAATTATTCCAGTTTTACAGATGGCAAAGCTGAGACAGAGGTTAAGTGATTTGCCCAAAGAGACAGCGAGTCAGTGCCAGAGTTGAGAAGAGAACCCGACTTTTCTGACTCCCCGTTTGATGCTTTTACTAGACAATACTGCCTTTATCTCCGGGGATACAGTTCTTTTATGGGATACTCGCACTCGTTTTAGTCAGCTCCCTTAGCTAGCACAGTCCTAGTGCAGCCTTAGAGTGTGGGTCCCACAAAGCAAAGCTAACACTCAAACCGACGGGTACCTGGTCATGCACACATGAATATTTTTCACCCCTTAGCAGCCTTGCAATGCTGCCAAGGGTAGCTGCAGTCCAAAAGCATAAACACAGTGGAGGGTATGTACTACAGTACGCTTACAGATTCTGCTTTTGCTGCACAGAGCTAACCCTATATCTACTCCCATCTGTTTTCAGAAGGCCCAGTGCTTTGGGACCGTATAATACAGATACGGCCTTTAGTACAGGGATCGGCAACCTTTGGCATGCGGCCCGTCAGGGTAAGCCTCTGGCAGGCCGGGACGGTTTGTTTACCTGCAGCGTCTGCAGGTTTGGCCGATCGCAGCTCCCACTGGCCGCGGTTCACCGTCTCAGGTCAATGGGAGCTGCGGGAAACGGCGCAGGTCGAGGGATGTGCTGGCGGGGGGCTTCCCACAGCCCCCATTGGCCTGGCGCGGCGAGCCGTGGCCAGTGAGAGCCGTGGTCGGCCGAACCTGCGGACGCTGCAGGTAAACAAACCGGCCTGGCCCGCCAGGGGCTTACCCTGACGGGCCACGTGCCAAAGGTTCCCGATCCCTGCTTTAGTATCAACGTACCAGTGTGAATAGGTAAACATTACTGTCTATGTAGCACCAGAGAGCCGAGTCCCCAGCCTCATATTATAGGCAGCTTTCTTCCTGAACGTTTTCAGCCAGATTTTAACATTTCCTCAAGGCCCATCAAGTGTCCAGATGGCCTTGTACAATAATTCCACAAAATACAAATCACAACAGTAAGAACACTCTTAACCCACAAAAAATGATCCCAGAACCCACAATGAGATAACGCTGTCATCTGGCCTCAAATTCTATGAATTTAAGAAAAAACAGAACAAGAAGGCAGGAATGAGGAGTGGGAGGGGAATCCTACATCTGTTGACAAAAGTATGATTATTTTTGAGAAAAACCACTTTTGGGAGGCCGGAGTCGGCATTATGGACTATGAATCAGGGTCATCTGAAATTTTAAAATGTAATGGCTGACTCTGCTTACCGTTACTTACATGAGGAGTCTCTCCTCCTGCGAGTAGCCTCATGGAGGTCAGTGGGGCTCATTGCCTGCATAAGGGCATGTCGCACAATTAAGGGTTTGCAGGATCAAGTCCTTAAACGGACTTTGCAATGTGCAATTAAGCTCCCGGCCAATAAAGCTATTGACCCAAGCCCCTGCAGCTGTTCTCGAAGGTAAAAACATACAGCAGTGCTGCACAGAGGACACGCTTCACAGGCCATAGCAGCTTTGATCAGGCAATGACATTATTAGCATGTGTCCAGAGTACAGAAAGACCCTGGCACTCTGAGAATTAGTGGGGAAAGCATGCGAAGATAGATGCTAATCAAGCACGAAGATAGTTCATTGCTGTTGATTTTTCTCCCCTAGGATTGTTTTTGGTGGCGGGAACAAGGATTTACATCTAGTTTAGGCTGCAAGATTACATGAAATAAAATTCACTAGGAGATGACATTCTATAGGTTGTGTAAAATAGGTCAGAGCAGATAATCTAATGGTCCCTTCTGGTGAAAAAAAAATAATCAATGAACATAAATCTACATTTAAGAAATAGCAGCTTGAAAGAGAGGAGCCCACCAAATCTCCCAAAATATTGGGTCAACTTTTTGCTGTTATTTGAGGAGGAGAAAGCGAGGAAGGTTCCATGTTGGGCACCACCAGAGATCATCAGCTGGACTGTGGCTGACACAGCTCTCAGGGATTGGGAGCAGGGGGCGTATTTGAAAAAAAGACCGTTTCTTCTGATCAAGATTTCTACAACAGCACAAGCAACCACAGAGGTAAACTTCAATGAGAGCTGAAGTCAGCCCAGGACAGTATCAGGGGAGGCTAATAATGCTAAAGCACTAATGATCCTAGAAGAACTTTTCAAACCTGAACTGAGCACAAAAGCTCATGGCCAGCAATTCAGCACCAGAAGACGACGAGGAGGGCAGGCTCTGAGTGACAGCTTTGGCTAATGGGGGGGGGGGGGGGTTTGGGTTTTTGAAGAGCCGCACTGGATTTATGAAGGTTAGTCTCAGAGTGGCCAGGGCTAAGGGCACAAAAGCACAAACACTTCCGATTGCAATGCTTACTGCTCCACGTAGGGTGGGGTTTTCAAAAGCATTTACGTTGGCCTAACTCTGCTCCCCTGGAAGTCCATGGGGAAATTCTGAATGATTGCCACACAGAGCTGGGCCAACTCCAAGTGCTTATTAGGTGCCTGGCGGCTTAGGCCCTGTATTTGATCACAGCATAGGTGCTGCTGTTTACACTAAAAATAAGTAGAAAAAAATAAATAGAAGTAATAAATAAAGACACCTGTGGCTTTAAATGTTAGGTTGTCTTCCCATATCTTGAACCCTTCTCTTCACACCCTGGAAAACTGGCTGAAACCTTGAGACTCAGAAATTTGATTGTTTATTTTGTGCCTCCCTTCTGCTGAACGGAGTTTATTTTTAAAACAGGAGCCAGGCACTGCTAGAGAAGTTTCTGATGCAAACATTGGGCTGGAAACAGCAAGGTAGCAGTTCTGGTGAGAATACTCATTGTTACGTTTATAGAAAGCCAGATTGCAAAATACCGAGTCCTGCTGTTCGCCTGGAAGGTGCTTTTAGAGAGATGTGTTTGGTAGTTACTAGAATCATTCACCCGCTTTGGAATTTTTCCCATCATAAGAGCGACTCCATTTACACACAGTTTGAAGTCCCAGATATATGCGGTTATTTCTGTGATCAGTCTCTCCACCCCTAACAACCTCAACTGCAGTGGTGTGGTCAGTGACCCTGGGGATTTCTACAAGAAGGTGGCTCACCCCAAACAATCAGGGGTCTGACTTTTCTTCTCTCCCACCCCTCCACCCCAGGTGCTGAGCCTCCACAGTTTCAACGGATTCCAAACTCAGCATTTCTGAAAATCAGGCACTAGGAAATTAAACAGCCCCCACTGTACTTAACATGGTGTCAATTGCAGGGCTGTGAAGTTCCACTCATGAGATGCCAAACACTATCAAGCTCAGAGGACCTTTCTGTGCATTTAAGCCTAGATGCTCCAATGGATACAAATCTTAATTTGCACAAAGCTGATAGCCCTCATTGGCCAGCGACTAACACACGGACATTTGTTAAGTAACCTGACCAACACACAGAGATAATTGGGGAGCAAGAATCTTGCCATTCCAGCAGTGCCAGCCTAACATTCGATGTACAATATTAAAAGGGTTATGAACAAAACTGGTTGATACAGGAGATGTAGCAATGTTTTTCAATAGTTGACAAGGGAACACCTGAGTTTGCTTGGTAAGAAACGAACAGCACTTACTTTACAGAGACTCAGAAGAAGCCAGACAGCATGAAGAGCAGAAATCCATCCATATCCTCTTCCTTACCTTCTATTCCTGCTCCCCTTGCACTGCAGAATGCGACTGTTCTGAACTACATATTCTGGAGTTTTTCAAACATCTTGATTGTGCCTTTCTCAGGCTGCTCCTTTGTTCAACCCTGATTTTCAGCCGGAGATAGAGATGCCTTTGAGCTGAGACACCAGGCAGTCTAATACCACAGCTCATTTCCTGGCCTGCAAAAGTCATCACATCACCCAACTGACTTACTTTCTCTCTACTCTGCTTTTGCAGAAAACAGGCAGGTGGATGGGATCAGTAGCACAATGTGCAACAGCGCCCTCTGCTGGCTACTCATCAGTACTTGACCTCATTTCTATAACAGATTATTCCTGGGGGAATTCTGCACCAAAAATTTAAAAATTCTGCGCACAATATTTTACAATTCTGCACATTTTATTTGTCAAAATAACACTACATAATCATGCCAGTTTCAATTATTTTGGTAATTTTATTTCAGAATACCTGTCAGTAAGTATGTCTGACACCCACAACCCCTCTCTCCCAGAGCCCAGTTGCAGGCCCCCCGCCAGCCAATACACCTGAACCCCGTACCCTCCCTGAGCCCAGCTATGAGGTCCCCCCGAGCCCAGCTATCCCTTCCCCTTCTCCCCTCCCCGCCCCAGAGCCCAGCCATGGGACCCCACCCACCTTGACACCCACCCGCTACCCCTCAGAGCCCAGTTGTGGGCCCACCTCAGCCCAGACATCCATCTCCTGCCCCCCCAGAGCCCAGACACCCGCCCCCTCCCATCAGAGCCCATGGATCCTGAGGGAGAAACAGCCTGATGCTGGGTCCCAGGCTTGTGTGGAGTTTCCTGCATGCTGCCCTCTCCTTCCCTCAGTGCGTGCTGGGAACTGCAGCTACTAGGAACTCTCTACTCTTCCCCTCCTCCTCCCCTACCCCCTGGCAGTGTCTTTTATGTGTGAGCTGGGCTCTGCCAGGATCAGCATCCCCTAGTGGCGGCCGGCAGCACTGCAGCCCATTTTTTTTGGGGGGGGGGGAGGAATTCTGCAGGCACAAGGTTAATTTCTGCAAAATTCTGCATTGCGCAGTGGCGCAGAATCCCCCCAGGAGCATATAACACCTGTAGGAGTTTGCTTGATTTGTTTTGTAGATGAATATAGTGAAAGAATAAGTTACCTTTTGATATAGTACTGTTCATTGTGAAGGATCACAAAATGCTTTACAGAGATTGCTTTATCCACCACTGACATGCAACCGTCTCAAGGTGAAACTGTTTAGGACAGTACGTGAGGAGGCAACTGAAACCACTGAGAAAATTCAAGGGACTCAAAATGCAGTTATGCTTATTGGACAATGGAACTAACATGCCCACTCTTGCAAAATAAATAAATAAAAGATGGCATGCACATGAATATTGGCAAAAGATAAGAAGCTCCTGTGCAAGACTCCTCCACCCTGACATGCTTTTCCAGTACCGGATCTCTCAGAGACAGATAGCCATGTGGAGCTGTTAATCTTATCACAAATTGTCACAAAGAGCACTCGTATGAGACCACTAACTGTACTTGGGAGCTAAGTGCATTAACCTTCTTCACCACCTGTCTCCCATTTCCCACCCCAAACCAGCTTTGCATTAACCCAATGCAGAGAGAAGACCCATACTTAGTCACAGAATGACAATCCTTGTGGTGTTGGTGCTGATTAGTTGCAGGCTTGGAAGGATACTGATGTGTTCAAGACAAAATCCACATCACCTTCATTTACACTGTAAACAGAAGAGATGAAACTTCAGCTCCTGTTTAGGGTCTTATGATAGTGCCCATTGCTGTAGGATCGAGTGCTTCTCAGGAAAGGACAATCACGAAAGATCTAATTTTCTTCCCGCATCCCTAAAGTAGCCAAGAATTTAGCGTGTTTTTTTTTAATGTATTTTCTCTCTCTCGTTCTTGCCCTCACTTCCTTTTCTGTCTCCTTTGCTACTCTTAAAATCACAGGGGGGAACTTCCACACCTCGGTCTGAGGCTGTGAAAGCTGTGGTCATTTTAATCATCCCGGCAGTGAATTCAATTGCCCTGACCTGTAGCCAAGGAAGCACTGTCTCCCGCTCTTGTGACTGTGACCCTTGAGGTTGACAGCTCTGTAATCCTTCAAAGGCATCTGAGAGGTGGAGATAAAAAGGCAAAACAAGTCTCTTCTAAGATAAAAGGGGTCGGATATCTTTTACTTTAAAAAAAAAAAGTGTTTTCTCAAGACACCTGCAAAAATTACAGAATCAGAAAATAAAGATGCACAGAAAAATACTCAAATGTATAGGCCACTGCCTAACACAGAATGCCTGACAGAATCAACACCTCCTCTACAGCAAGAACCAGCCACCACTGACAGAACCTGGCTGGGAGATTTTCAACTGCCTGAGATTGTCTGTACCCACTGCAGGGCAGGAGAGTCTGCTCAGCTCTCCTGCCTCCAGGATTGCATGAGCTCTTTCACAGGGATAGCTATGTGTGGTGGATACACCTGGACCTCGGGTCGTTTTGTACAGTTCTGTGATGTTTCATAACAAGGAGAACCTACTTGTTCACACAGATATCTAGAGCAGAAAAACTCAAAGCAGCCAGAGTGAAAGCAAAAGGCTGACTGTGGTATTGTTCCTGGCCGGCAGGTATGTAGCTGACCTGTTATGTACTTAGCTGTTTATGTGGTTACCACATTCCCCTAACTCTGGCCCTCAGTGCTGTGCTATGGAATGGGGCAGCATACCATATCGTCACCATTAGCATGCAGGCTGACTTAACAGGGAAGCCTAAACCTTTTGTACAAGGTTGGGACCCAGTAATACTTTTGCAGTCAGCTGGCAATAGTGCAAGGCCTGGGGATCTCAGAACTGAACACTGCCCTGCCTCTTCTCTTTCTGTTCCGTGTGCTGGCGCTTTAAAGAGCTACTCTAAATATCACAGCAACATCAGAACTAGTAGGGACAAACCCAGCATTGACTCCTGTGTCCCTGAGCGACGCCCAGAGCCAAGGACAGAGGGACGCTGATAGCTGAAGTGACCTGCCCTGGTTTTCACCAAAACCAGACCGTCTTTTCTGCAGTGCTGGAATGTGTTTGGGACTCAGTTCCCAGCCTAGTGGATAAACACGCAGACGCACAACCCACTGAGTCTCCAAGGCAGAGTGACAGGCCATGGGGCTCCCCTGGCTCTTCCCACCAGCTGATCTGTGGACAACCATGGTATCACCCGGGTGGCTATAGACTCTCTGGATGGAGAGAACTACCATGGTGATAACTGGGAAAAGGGAACAAAAGCAAGGTGCAGGGGCCTTTTTGTATAGCAGGTCAGTGTAAGCAGCTTGGGTCTTCTGAACACCTTCAGGAGTGAACAAGTACTCGCTCCCCCGCCCAGGAATGCTCAGCTCAGACAGCATCTGTTTTTATGGAGAACTGCTGCTTTTCACCCCAGTTTCACAGCTGGGTTGCCCAAGACCCAGAGGTGATGGCACAGCCCATCCCGGTTCCAACGCACTGAGTGCTGGCTCAGACATAATGAAAACCAGTACATCACATCAACACCTTTCCTTGGAGACTAGAACTCAGTCATTTTCTTGTGTGTCTCGGCTTTCTTCTGCTCCTGCTGCAGGCTGGCCTCCTGGGCCCGCAGCTGCCCCAGCTCCCTGTGGGCACCAGCTAGTTTCTCCTCCAGCTGGGCCGTGGCAATACTGTGCCTGAAAGCAGAAGACAGGCACATTAAGGATATCTAGCATGTTAAGAACAAAGGCTCCTCGTTAACATCTCCATTTTACTGCTAGGAATCCCAGTCTCAGCAGTGGGTGGATGTAAATGACCCGCTGGGAGCCATGAAGTGTCAGATATCAAGCAAAACAAGAGCCAGAGAACTGCGATTGTTCTTGCCATAGTACTCATCACAGAAATGCTACAAGGATGGCCCCGATCAGTGTAAAAAAATGAAGAGAAAATTCTGCAGGACTCTGGAGGGTTCTCCTCCTTCCTCGATTTGAATTCTGGCCCAGGGGTCCTTGCCTTCTCAAGGCAGCAATCAGAGACACAATCTGGTCCAAGTCATGGTTTGGAAGCTTTTGCCTACCACTTTATTCTAGGCCTCCTCCCATGCCAGTGGTTAGAGTAGGAACAGTGACAAACACCTTAGTCTAAGCTTAGCTCTTCTCCTACAGACAGCCACCTCATAGAATCCATAGGACTGGAAGGGACCTCGAGAGGTCATCTAGTCCAGTCCCCTGCACTCATGGCAGGACTAGGTATTTCTAGACCATACCGGAGTCCCCATTCTGGGTCCCCTTCAAAACTGTTACATTAAAAATAACACAATCCAACTTTTCACCTTCAGCTCCCATCACCTGCATGATCGGCCCCCAGCCTAAACAACAGGCCACCCAAAATCATTCTGGAACCTCAACCAGGGACTTCCCCATACCGTCCAACATTGCGTGCCAGGGCCTCCTGGATTCCCCTGATGGTCTTCTGCGTTTGGTCAATCTTCTCCATTGTCTGGAAGAGGCGGACACTGAGGGCCTTCTTGGTGCTCTTACTGGCGTGGTAGATCTCCTTGTTGTTTCTCTCCACTGGTGTCATTCCTCCATCCTGCTCCCCAGAGCCCTTCCCCTGAAGCTTCTCATTCAGAAAGTCAAAGACATTGCGGGGGGGCTTGCGGCTCCCTGCAGAAGGACGGCCAGCATGGTTTGCCTTCACTCGCCGTTTCCTTGACTTAGCTGGATCCAGCTGCTTCTTCTGAAGGATCTCAGCACATTGGTCAAGGGACTTCCCTTTAGGCAGCACTATGGCTTGCACTGGCTCCACTCGGCCCTCAGCGTTCTTCCCCAAACCTGAGGGAGGAAGAAGGGCACCAGATAGAAGCCAAATTCTAACAGTAGAGTCTTTCCATACACCAATGATTCCTCCCATTCCACCTCTGCACAGCTATCAGGCTCAGAGCAACAGAAAACAGTCTGTTGGGGCTCACTGCTGCTACCCTTGAAGTCAACGGGAGCAGTGTTGGACTATATACTTGATGGTAAGGTTCACTGCTGAGTGACAAGACATAAGATGCACCTTCCCCCATACACACCTGATCCACACTGTTACACACACAAGAACCTCAATGATACAGAACAGGGTCATGCAGCTGAGGTGTTGCAGTGAAGCCAGGCTTAGATTTGCACTGTCACTTCCTTGAGCAGAGAAGACATTCCCTTTCAAAAACAGGTTCAGTCACTCCACAAGAACAGGAGGCAAGCATGGGCAGCAGGCTGGCTTCCCAAGCCCACTGGGCTCAGCAGAACTTCAGTGCAAGTTGTCTCGAGTTAGAAGCTGGCTCCACCGGCTTTGAAGTCTGTGTTTGGGGCCAGAAGTCCCTGAGCCAGATCCCCCATTACCTAATGGCCTACAGGACAGCTGAATAGTTAAAGCTCTACTCTAACAGCTTTAATCATTTGGCCATTGCTTTAAAATCCCCTCCACTGATGTATCACGGAATATGAACATCAACACGCACACACCTGCATCCCCCCCCAAACAGCGGTATTAAGACTTTATCCCTTAACCGTACAAGGTCATTTTTTCAGCACCACCACACGTGCAATCCTGCATTTAGTATTGAATGCATACCCCATTCTGGGCCTGATCCAAGCAATGCTAATTAGACTTACTGTTACCCCATTCCCCGACTCTGCAGGAACAAGCCCCTGGTCCCTTTGTGAGGCTGGGATTAAGAAGCAGGCTCCTAGTCCTGCAGGGATTTTACTCTTCTGCCCTTACCTTTTCCAAACTCATATCCCATTTGAGCGAGTAGTTTGGAGCCGATGCCACGAGTATGGGCCTCCCAGCCACCAAAGGAGGAACTGCAAGCTGGAGCCCCTTCCCCATTCTCCAAGGGCCCCGAATCGATCACTGCAGCACAAAACAGAGATTGAGCAGTAAGGCTGGGGCAGCAAAGCACCAAGTGAAAACCTCAGCAGGCGTGACGCTGTGAGCAATGTTGCAAAAACCAGCAACCTCTCCCGCCACACAAGCAACTTCACAGCCTCTTCTTCAGTCCTCTGCAGTACAATCAGTTCTGCCCCCCCCCCCCGCCAATAGTTCCTACTGAACAGCCACTCCCTAATCCATCAGACCAGGGGAGGAGCATGAGGAGTAAGCAGGGTTTTAAATGCTGGGGTTCATGGGGAGATCCCTATTTACTACACACAGAAACCCCTAAGTCAGGCAGAATCATCCAGCAGTGTTAGTAGATCCTTTCCATGCTCCTGGGGTCCGGATAGATTTCACAGCTTCATCAGGACAGAATTCAGCATGCAGAAGAGCATCATTCTGTGCCTCCATCGTACTTCTAACAGATTCAATGGCACGGAGGAGCCTTTTCTCTATTTACCTAAAATTAAGGCTCCCAGGACACGCCCTGTTTCTATGATGTCGTTAGGGCACTAACCAGGACTGGGGAGAGCCAGATCCCTGCTCTGCCAGACTGCCGGTGTGACCTTCAGCAAGTCACCTAGTGAACGGAGGCACCCAGAGGAACCTGCACAGTGGCGATAACAGCACTGCCCTGCCTCACAGGAGAGGTGCATTAAAGATTTCAAGGCGCTCAGGTATTACAGTGATGGGTGCTATGTAAATATGTAAGACGAACAGATGTCCTGGGAACTTCCTTTGGAAATTTGAAGTCTCCTGGTTTTTCATTTAATTTTCAAAACTTTATTTTAGTAAATAAGTAGCTCGCCCAGAGTCACACAGCAAAACTGCAATAAGAACACAGGGGTTCCTACTCCCAAACCCCATTTCACTCCGGTATACCCTCTAGTCCCATTGGGGCTGAAATATGTTTCTTTTTCATTGAAGCTATTTATCTGCATCAGCTTAGTGAAAATCATTAGCATGAAACATCACAGCTATTTTAACTGGAGACCGTGATATGCATGATACTTAATGTCCTCTCATCTCCTCCTGCAGCAGAACAAGAGGAAAAAAACATTGTTAAAGTTCTACTAAGTTGGGCAATGGTCCAAGAGGACCTGAATTAAAGGGCAGACTTTGATCACTGACAGTTGCAGTTCACTCTCTGCCTTGTCTACCTTTAGCATAGCCAGAGTCATCCACGTTGTCTTCCTCAGACTCGGGAGAGGAAGAGTCTTCCTCGCTTCGCAGTGGTGGCATGATGCCATCTCCCTCCACGACAGCCTCCTTCAGCAGCAATGACTCAAACTTCACTGTGTAGTAACCACTGTCAATGTCTGCGGGAGGAAAAGCAATGGACTGCATGAGAAAATCTCCACGAAATTACTCCTGGGGGAATTCTGTGCATCTGCGGACGTGCAGAATTTCATCTGTCTCACATAATTTGGTATTTTCCCGCATAAAAACCCTTTTGCCTAAGAAGTGATGCAGTTCTGCCTTTTGTCCACCAGAGGCCGCTGTGGCGCCATAACAGCCAGCGGCGTTCATGCCGGCTGTTCTAGTACCACAGCGACCTCTGGTGGGTAAGAGGAGGAACTGCAGCACTAAGGCAAAATGTATTTTATGCGGGGAAAATACAAAGTTCTATGCCCAGAATTCCCCCAAGAGTAGAGTTCATCACAGCACCCTGCCCGCAGAGCCAGGTTAGGACAGAGTGGAGCACACAGGGCTGGCTGGGGAGTCACAGACGGGTTCAGAATGATTAGTGAGGGTGCCAGTCTGGAGCATGAGCTCAGAAGCTAGTGGGATGACAGTGTTGAGCCTGGGGACAGGGGCTGCAGAGACCCACAAGGAGGGGAGGTGCAGTGACTGAATGGGAGAGGCTTGGGGTCAGCCAAGATCTGCATGCGGGAGGCTTCCCAATACCCTAACAATCCCTCCCCCCCTACCACCAGAAAAACCTCCCACCCACACCCAACACCCTCCAGGTTCACTCCTAGGCTCCTCCTTCAGCTCTTCCGTTACCCCTGGCCCCCAAAGCCTTTGCACTGCTTCTGACAGGTGCAGGAAATACAGTTCTGTATTGTAATTTAAATGAATTACACAAAGTTCTGTACGAATATGCCTAGAAAGGAATCTATTTGTCAAAAAACAATTACCAGAATGTGTGTGTGTGTGTGTGTGTGTGTGTGTGTGTGTATTGTTACAGACATACTTGCTGACAGATATTTTGAAATAAATTACGAAAATAAGTGTAACTGGCATAATTATGCTATTTTGACAAATACAATATGTAGAATTTTCAAATATTATGGGAAGAATTTTTAATTTTTAATTTTTTGGTGCATAATTCCCCCAGGAGTACGAAATGTAACTAGAGGACCATGTTCATCCCCTCTTAGCTAATCACACTGACTTCAGTGGAACGACACCTGGGATGAGTGATCCAGGAACATCTATTTGGGGTTTTCTGTTGGAAGGCGGAACCATCATCACCCACTGCTACCATCAGATACTGCCACATGATACAAACACAGAGCTAGGGCCCTAGTAAACAGCACTAGGGTCATCACTTATCTTCAGTTTCTAATGGTACCAGTGTGTTTCACAGCATCTGAGCACATTAGTCAGAGTTTGTTCTTACAGGGGAAGGAGGATAGGTTTGGGGAAATATAAGAAATGCTACTTCACAGCAGCTTTGAGATGAAGCATGAGGAACAAATCCAACGTCCCCACACACACAGTGAAGCACCAGTCTAACACTCCTCTCGGTGACTGGTGTGCAGGCGAAGTTCTCTGGCTTTGTTTAAACTGGAACTGGATTAAAACAAGAGCCAGTGGTTCCAAGTATCTAATTTCAGGATTTGACAAGATATCAGGAATGATATTCGGACAAAGCTGAACAGGGGGTAGGAAAATAAAGGACAATTTACTCAACGTCTAGTTGTTTGTATTGATTCTTTCATTCTCTCTTTTTCATTTCTATGTCTTCTATTCTGCTACTATTCTCTTCTCCCAGGTCTCCCCAACTTTCCCTCTAGACCCCTGCCACCACTTTCCTGCCCTCTCATCCCTAAATCCTTCTCTGGTTTCCCTTTCGTAAAGATCATCTGCCTTTGAGGATCTCAAAGCACTTTACAAACCTTAATGAATTAAGCATCACAACATCTGAGGTCCCTCATAAGCCACACCCAAAGTCTGTGGCAGAGAACTCAGTTGTCTCAGACCCCCAGTCCTGTGCTTTAGCCTACAAGACCATCCTTTGCTCTGTTTATGTCTTAGGAGTTTAGTTAAAATGAAGACTGAAGTACTTCTGTTCACCTTTCAACACCCACCCAGAGAAAACAAGACTCACCAGTGATTTTTGCAGCATACCATATTCCATCATGGTGTTTCGCCAAGCAGGCTGAGCCCACTTCTAGAGAGCCGAGATTGGGCTCCTGAAATGGATGAAGCTCGTCCACAGATACCACTTGCCCATGGGAAAACCTGCAGGGGATATAGGGAGAAGCAATCAGATCTGCCCTGGTCTGAAGGGAATTCTAGAAAAAGTTTCCTTCCCTTATGGAAGTATGGGCAAATTGTCTGCCCTGTCCTCACCAATAATCGTGAATATCTTACCACTAGAGTAGTTTCAACTGCATAACTTATCTTCACTGTGTCTTACGGTACGTGTTCACTACCTGCCGTATCGGCGGGTAGCAATCGATTTATCCGGGATCGATATATCGCGTCTCGTTAAGACACGATATGTTGTTCCCCGAACGCGCTCACCGTCGACTCCGGAATTCCACCAGAGCAAGACGCGGCCGTCGATCCTGCGCCATGTGGACCCCAGGTAATTCGATCCAAGATACTTCGACTTCAGCTACGCTATTCGCGTAGCTGAAGTTGCGTATCTTGGATTGATCCCCCCGCCCCAGTGTAGACCAGCCCTTAAAAAAAGACTGTTTTATAGCATTATTGTATTCTATTAAACATGTGTCACATTCGACCCCAGAAGCAGCCGCATTTCACAGGCCAGTGACAAATCCATTAAAAAAACGACATGGTTCACATCTTTTAGGATAAAATGCACTAGCTAACTGCAAAGTTCTTATTAAGATGTGTTATTTTCCCTACAGTAGATCTTATTTTTTCCTCTTTAGCCAATATTTATTTAGCTACCCAATATATTAGAACTAATCCTTGTACTTTTCCCTCTAAGGATTTTCCATTGTCTCCCTGGGTTAGCTGAAGGAGTGTACACCCACTGACACAGAACAGTAAAATGACAACACTTTAAACAAATAAAAAGTTGTTTGGCAAAATTACAGCTGATTTAAAAACCAAGTAAGGTGAGATATTTACAAGTGAGAAGTTATTGCCACTGGCTGACATTGCCACTAATTGCCCTCTTACTACACAACAGAGATAAGCTTTTTTACCGACAATTCTCTTTAAATCTGCATTTGCCATCCAAGAAGAATGGACAAGGCTTCAAGGACTTGTGAGTTGGGTAGAGATACAGCACTCGGACTCCTGCACTGCCATCTTCCAAACACTCTGTCCCCACAATCATGGCATTATGGTACTCCAGGGTACCCCATGGACTGTAGTACGGGGCTTTAACCTTCATCCCACTCACTTCCTCCTCCTCTTCCTCAGA